AGTTATATCGAGGTTGCGTCGATAATCGACATTAGATGAATCATATATCATACATCTGTGGTTCTTATATTGTAGTGCTTAGCACTAAGTGCGATCAAAGGGGTCTTTTGCAGTTTCTATTCCATGAAAACCGTGTGACATCACACGCAAACACGTTCTTAATATTGAACTCTCCCTCGTCGTTGTCGGGATTAAACCGTTTCAGACTGAACTCATTGCCATTGAGGTCTACAGGACAAACTTGTGTAGTGGAGCGGGGAAAGACACTTGTATCGAGTTGCCGTGTCGGTTGGCTCAAACCCTCCGTTAACTGGTTGCAACTCAACCTCCATACGAGGCGGGGACGCCGATTGGGCGTGCTCTGCGGAGCTTGCGCTCCTACCAGCTCGAAGGCACAAGTGAGCAGCTCCATAATCCGGGCACAGCGAGCTTCGCCGCGGGACCAAACCAGGATGTCATCTACGTAGAGTATGACTTGGCCAGGACCATCACTCCGATAGACCTCGGGGAGGGCTCTCGCCAGCAGCGAGTGAGCCGCGAAGCCCCACAGGAAGCTCGACCCTTTGAAACCCATCACCATCTTGTCATGAATGGCGTAGGCCACTGACCCGTCGGCCGCATAATAACTGAAAGCGAAATACTTCCGACTATCTTGGCTGTATCGGAGATTGTAGTATGCACTTCGGATATCCACGCTACCGAAATGAATTGGGCCTGAGGGAATCTCCGAAATGCACTGATTCGGAGTAGTTTGGTATGTCTTCCATACTGCGGGGAGGTCTGCTACACATTCGTTGATACCCCTCGCGTCGATAACAAGCCTGTATTGCTTCTCGACGTTCTCGACCGTGAGCTCATCTACCGCGCCGCCGCTAGACTTCGGGACCAGGAAGGCTGGATTCACCCAAGCTTCCAACCGATCGACTTCGGCCCGTGAAACCCTTCGGACGACGTGTGCTTTTTCCAAATTCTCCACTATCATCTCCATGGCAACCATCTCCACCGTGCCACATGCGTAGGGCCGTCTGGGGCGGGGACGAACTGCTCCCGGCTTGAGTTTGACCTCGACCTCCGGGAAACTCCACCCCTCGAGGCGTCGGGCAATCTCTTCCTTAGAAGGAAGTGGAGCCTCGTCCCTTTCGAAGGACGGATCCATGGCAGCATACTTCTTCCCTGCTAGCCCAGCTGGCGCTCCGGGTGTACTCCAGGACACCAATCTGACCGATACACCCATGGCTTTTAAGAAGACTGTTGAGTCCCCCACTGCGATCTCGGCTCCCATCTTTCTCAGCGAGCCTAGACCAAGAAGGATGGCCGAAGAATCTACCACGGCCGGATTGAGGTCAGTGGCCACCTGCACCGTTAAGTGGAACCTGTACCACTTCCCATCGTTGCCACCAACCATCGCCGGTAGAGCGACTTCCCCGACCACGTTCACTGTACCACCCTCCCCTGCAGCTTCCAAGACCACCGGGCTTCCGTATGTTCTCACTTCAAGTCCCAGTCTCGAGATAAGCTGCGCTGAGGCCAGGGTGCACTCACTACCGGTATCCAACAATAACAAAGCCGGCGTTTGATTCGCACTCCGTCGTCCTTCCAGAAGGGCCTCGATCCCTACCAGACCTTGCCGGCCCTTCGCGCATGTCACAAAGGTTTTACCCGCCTCCACTACGGCCGACCCGTTAACCGCCGGGCCTCTAGGGAGACGGCCTTCTAACGGCCTGAACCATGGAGGACGCTTGCTCGCATTCGCCGGATTCTCCCAACATAACGCGTCGGAGTGCT